TGGCGCAATTTATCAAGAAAAAGGTGATTATGAGAATTCATCAGTTTACCATCGAAAATGTCTTGAAATCAAGGAACATCATAAACCACTAAAATTAGAAATCCCATCAACCTTATCCAATATTGGTTGTGTTTATTTAGCGCAAGAAAACTATGAACAAGGATTAATTCATTTAAAACGAGCTGTTGTATTAGAATCTAATGCTTCCAATACGAATAAGGAAGAACTAGCAACATATTTTAATAATACCGGACAGTTATATAAAGAAATTAAAAATCTTCCTGAAGCGTTGGAATATTATAACAAATCATTGAATATTAGAAAAGAAATTTTACCGTGTAATCATCCACTAATAGCTTCATCGTACAATAATATTGGTACAATTATATATAGTCAACGACTATATGAAGAAGCAAAAAAAAAATTTTGAAATGGCACTTAATATCGAAAAATCCTCCCTTTCGTCTCACGATCCGTCATTGGCAGTTACATATCATAATATTGGTAAATGTTTATTTGCACAAAACAAATATGAAGAAGCATTAGAACAATTTCGAAAAGTATCATCAGAGGTATTTTCAAAAACACATCCACAAGCTGCTACTATTAAAAGAAGTATGGAAATGGCTGAAAAAAAGCTGTCTTTTTCATGAAATGGTTCGAAAGACTTTGACCATAATACAATTATTAAAGTTTAATTATTCAGCCAGAATTTCAGTTAACATACATTCGGATCGCCATTCTGAACAAATGGCGGTCTCAGTATTTTGTGAATATCTCTTTCGATTTTCATCGCTCAAACTTCGGCTTGGTTTTAAAAGATTTATCGTTTTATTCTCTACAAAATCATATTGAATATTTTTTTATATAGCGCAGGAGTAAAAGAAGATAGTGAAATACTGTGATGCTTCAATTTCCATTACTGTGAAATCCAACAGTTTTTCAATTGTAATTCTTTGTATTTGCGATACAGAATAATAGAAGATGATCGTTGTATAGCCCTTAAAAAATTATATCAATTGCCGATGCTTGAAACTCTTCATAATTGCAATTGGTTGTGGGAAAAGTTTTTGCTTATGTCGATTTTATCAAAAATCGGCGTTTTCAAACTGCAGTTTGGGTGGCATTTGGGAAATATTTATAAATCGGTGAAAATCAAATATTTTTAGATCTGGTTTGTCTCATCTTAAAGCAAAATCATTCTTCTATTACATGGAAACAGAGGAAGTTCGATAGCTTCATTTCCTTTCTAGGCGAACAGGTGGAAATTTTTCTGTTTTTTGGTAGACTGTAGTAAAACTGCCTTTTGTATCAGAAAAACACGTTCAGAGCCAATCTCTGATATATGAAAAGAAAGACGACACTTCGAGATACCAGAACATACGTTTTGATTCTACTTTGATGCATAGCATCACCTTAAAATAAATATCTTTTTGTTGTGTTTTAGGTTTGAAAGTAATGGAAACTGAAGCTTCGCAGTATTTCACCTATATTCTTTTATCCCTACGCTATAGAAAAAAACATTTCATCTGATTTTGTAGAGAATGAAACGATAAATCTTTTAAGACCAAGCCGAAGTTTGAGCGATGAAAATCGAAAGAGATATTCCCAATATACTGAGACCGCCATTTGTTTTGGCCCACCCGTTATTTTGCTGCAAAATTTGGATCAGAAAAAAGGTAACGTACGAATACGAGTCGGACAAAAATTTCTTTCAGCTTGATCAGTTGTACGACGACGAATCCTTCTAGTCCGAAGGGGTAAAATGGAGCATTAGAACGTTACGAAGAAAAGAAGCGCCAGTATGTTGTAAGATGGTTAGATATCTAAGGCTCCCAACGATCTCAACGGGAAAAGACTTTTAAACGTTTATCTTGTGCAAAAAAACTCAATTTTCTTAACTGACGGAGGTAGACTGAATTGTCCGCAACGACGTATGCAGAATTTTACAAGATGGGCAGATGATCAGATAGGAAGGGGGTATGCTATTGAAAAACAAAGCAAAAAATTTACGTCAGTAAGTAAGCCGTTTTTGATTATTTTCTGCAAGGAAAAACTGTGAAAATTTTAAAGGTGCGATCGTGGCCTCCATTGTGGATCTATCACTACAGAACTGGTAATTGTTCTGAACTGGTAACAGAACAAAGGAATCACCATGACAGTCCTTTGTTCTTTCCCACATGAGCCACCGAATTTGAGATCGCTGATCTAGATTAAAAGGTACATTTATCCAGCTTCAACTAGCTGCACTGGAATACATGAATATTCCATCTGGCTTCAATTGAGTACAACTAGTTGCTATCGATTAAGCGGGCAATTCGTTGCTCAATTAATTGGCCAGTACAGCGACTGTTTCATCTAGTACGCGATTTCAACCAGCGTGCATCTAGATAACTGTGCCTTTTAATCTAGTTAATCTAGCTTTTATTAAACAGCACGAGTGAAGTGAAGGTAATAGAAACAGTTGCAGTTATATATTCATCCATTCATCTATTAAACAATTTTACCACCATTATGCGTGTTCATCTCAATTCACATGTAGAAAAGTAGATAAAATAAGCTTTTAAAAGATATGCTTATATAGAACAAATGTCGAAATGTGGAAGAAGGAAGATAATAAAGAGCTATTGCGTGTTGCATGATTGA